AAAGACGCAAAAGCCTATAAAATTGTAACAGGAGTACAAATTGTGTTCTTTGGCAATATTTGATAATAAATAGGAAAATAAAAATTTAAAATAACAAAAGAAAACATAAGAGTTTCATTAAAATAATATAATCCACTATTCGCGTTAACAAGTATACTAAACTACAAAAGTAATACTACTGACCAGCTATATTAAATTAGATTCATTTTAAAATTGGTGTTTTCAGAAAAAAAACAAAATTTCGATTAAAATTTTTCAAAGAAGGATAACTGCACAACACTTAAAATAACTAAGGGAGATAACTCATTACAACCATTAAAAACGAGTTATCCAACAAATTTACTATGTGCGCGCGCTTGTTTTTGTTTAACCGTTTGACCCCCAAGAACTGCAATAGTATCAACTAAAACGCAAGTGCTTTACTCAGAGTGAAAGCAAATCAGAAAGCATTAATGATGAGAAAGGACAATAAAAAAAGATTCAGGAAGACAGAAGAAGGTGATTGATGCTGTTCTTAAATTCTTGGAGCTTGAAGGGAGGGAAGAAGGTGTAAGGAGTTCCACATATGAGAAAAGAAACTATTAGTATAGAAGTTGCATTGAGCTATTTCAACAGTAAAATGATGAAACCTACTTGTAAATTGAGGAATTAAATTCATGTGGTCAAGGTACCAAGGAAGAAAGCATATCAGAACAGTTTGCCATGAAAATATTTACACAAAAGACATGGAAGCCAAATCATGGTGGTAGGAAAGTGACTGAAGTTAAGATGCCATGTCAGGATTGATAACATTACAGAGACTTCTTTGGATTTTAACAAAAATCTAGATATATAACAGGAAATCCAGATCAGATGTGGCTGCAATATTCAATGCATGAATGGGAGATTTATAAACATAAAAGATTCTGGTGAGTAAAATAGTTTGGAATGACACAGTGAACCAACTTTCCTAGCAGCAAACCTAGCAATTCTTTCCAAACTCTGTTCTAACACCCAATTACACAAGCTCATTAGATAGGTTACTCAGATTTTCTCTGCCCTTCCTGTCTTCAATATATGTCCTGTAAGTGTCAAATTCTCTAATCCCTCTTTCCCTACATGCCCTAAAAATTTCAACAATCTATCTGGTTCTAAGTAGGTGTCCTTTTTATTTCCATTTTTCTTAAAAAGTTTTGTTACTCACATTTTTCAGTCCATGGTATTCTCAGCATCATTCTGTACAACCATATTTCTGTTGCTTCAAGTCTTCCCCATTTGTCACCATGATAGGACATGGTTGGCAACAAGTTGCCTTCCTATATAGGGGTCTTTGCAAGAATCTGACCACTAACTGTTGCCTTCTGACAGAGAGGGTCTGGGAAACACACACATGTATTTTTTTTTTTTTTAGTGAAATTGGAGTGGATTTGACCAGCGAAATTAGATCAGAGCATTTTTGTTTACTGATGGTGAAACCTGATCTAGGGGAGGAGCAGTACCTATTGGAAGTGGGTCATTAGAAGACAAAGGAAATGGTTGAAATAATTTTTATTGATTAAAACTTGGAATAGAGATGAGCAAGCAACAAGGACCACATGATTTTGGTTGAAACAGCCAAAACCCCGTGATAATCATGTGCAAATTAGTAAGGCCAAGGTTCAGTTGGAACCAGCCAGATTTTTCTATATAAACACATAGTTATGCTGAAGAAGAGGCAGATGGAAGAGAGAGACGGAAGAGGCAGACAGAAGAGAATTAGCCCGGGCAAGAGACAGTGGAGACTCAATTTGGAGACTCAAGAAGGAGAGAAAGTGATGTCAGAGATTGGAACAAAGCGTCCGCTAATATGTACTGTTGATATAAGTACCACTGCTTCTGCTACCACAAATATTACTACTACTGTTACTACTGCTAAGGAGGAGTGCCACTATAAATTTTAAGCTGTGCACAGAAATCTTATTCCCCCATCGCAAGAGTCGTACATCATTCTGAAATGATTTAAGAAGTTAATCATAACACTGTTCAGAATTCAGTGTATGCGTTTTTATGTCAATTACTTTTCTTTTCTGTAACTCGTTTCTTTTCTATACTATTCTTTTCTGCTATATAAGACATTAACAATTCAATCATTGAATAGTTGTTTGTCCAGCTTTCTGCAGATATTAATTTTTTTTGCTGCATTCTAAATTTCTTAGTGCAGGCTCTCCAGCCGTGTCTACATCTTCAGTCGACCACGAATGGATGAACATCACTTCTGCTTTCTGGATAAAACCAAACATGTGGGCAGGAAGGATTAAACCAGTGGACCTGTTGAATAATCTACGGATGCTCAGGGGGACCTACAGCCACTCCCTTAAGTTCGATTAGGATCAAGTAGACACATCAACCCAGAGAGTAAGACGTCAGATGTTCAGGGGCTGGGGCAAAAGTGTTATATGCACAGTTCAAATCAAACCAAATTTATAATGTGACATATGCCAGGTGTGACATCCAATCGATAGAAATATGTGGCAATCATGTGACAAGTGGAACATTCTTGATCTATGCATATAACCCCTTCCATGGCCTCTGCTATCATCTCTAACCTTGATCCCCACAAAGCATGTGGACCTGATGGTATCCCTGTAATAGTCATTAAGTTGTGTGCTCCTGAACTGGCTCCTGTTCTCTCACTAAACTGTATAATAAATGCTTTGTTACCTCCTGTTTTCCTGCCTGCTGGAAGTCATCATCTGTTGTTCCAGTTTTTAAGAACTCTGGTGAACCATCCAACTATCAGCCTCTACCTCTTTTTGGGAAACTCCTAGGTTCTAATCAATGTTCAATTGGTTCACCATCTCTCATCACAGGGCTTTTTCTTAGACAAGCAATATAGTTTTCGTTTCTTCAGGTCAACTGCTGATGTACTAACAATAATTGTGGAAAGAATCTATCGTGCACTAGATAAAAACGGTGAAGCCCAGGCTGTAGCTTTGAACATATCAAAAGCTTTTGAGATGACCAAAGAGTCTGGCATTCAGGTCTTCACCATGAGCTGAAAAGTTACGGTATCTCTTATCTGCTTATTTCCTGGAAGGTATTTTTTGCTATTCTATTTATGTGTTATGTCCCATCAGGGCATATGCAATCATGGGTCTACACAACTTTTTGTCCTGTGTAGCTTTAGCTACTCTATCATCCCTCTTTCAACTTGCTCTGCCATCCATTCACTTGAACAAGTTCAGTCACCCACTGGTTTCCCTTTGCTTTCAATGTCTTATAAATGCTAAGTTCTTTAATCCATCTTTCCTCTATGTGCCATAAATTTCAACTGTTTCTTTCTGATTTTAAGTATAAATGTATAGTTCCGATTTTCTTTAAGACTTCATTAGTCACAGATTTTCTCCAGGATATTCTCAGCATCCATCTGTAGCTTCAAGTCTTCATCTGTGAGGAAATTATCTAGTATTCACTGCCAGATAGAGGGATTAGATATGAAAAAGCAGTTCAGCACTTTTTCTTTGTTTCTAAGAACATTTTCCAGTCTCTTAATACTCTGCTTAGTTTCTGGAAGGCATTTTTTGCTAGTACAATACACCTTCAGATTTACATGCTTTCATCATTTGTTACTACACTAACCAGCTAGTTAAGTTTCTGTATCTGTTTGATTAGCTTCTCCATTATGTAGATCACATTTTGGGCTATTGATCACAAATTTCTTTTAAATTTATATACATGCCTTTGTTTAAGATACTGAACAAAAACAAAGCTACATTGTTCTTGCCCTATTTCTGAGCTAATTAGAATCCTGATGATGATTTTAGTTATTTGGCTTATGAAGTTGACTGTCCGTTGGAGTTTGCATTCATTTGCATCTTGGTTTCTTCAGCATTCCTTAGAATTGTCTAAGGTTTCTTTCATTAATTCATGAATCTAATCTGTCATTCACTTTTATTTTCTTGCAATGATCTCGTCGACATAACTAGTACTTCTCATAAGGTACTCTACTTTTAAGCTTATATTTACTGTTAACTCTCAGTGTTAGTCCTTTTACAAATAGAATTGTATTGGTAGAATTGTACTTTTTGATGTTATTTTGGATTTCTGTAATTTCTATAATTTTCATATTACTGGGAGGTGTTTACTTCCATGTCAATATTTGGATTACTTTTAGAGCATAGGTTACACAGTCTTGTTTTTGTTTCGCAATTGGGCTAACCATGTGTACAAGCATCTTCAGTATTCTTGAAACCATGTGTTGGACATTATTTAGTCATGTCCTTTGCATCAGTCTAGATATTTTTTCAGCATTTCTTACATACATTAACTTTCCCTATTATACTGAACACTGTGGGGGTGGGAGAGCTGCACAGGGTCCAGTACTGTAATGAAATGGTTGAGAAGTGCTCAAAACAAAAAAAAGGAAATTTATTATATGGAAAAAGAATGCAAACAGTTTGTGGCAACATGTGTATAAGATGTCTACGTATTTTTCTTTTCCCCATGAAGACTGCCCAGACAAAGGCTAATAACAGACTAATGTTTGAACAGCATTTTGTAATGAAGAACAAGGGATAACATTAAGTCAGATGATCAAAGTTTATCTACATATTGACTGGTTTAGAGAAGACACCCAATGCAGACACACTAAAAAAAAAGTATTTTCCAAAATTAACACCCACATCAATATCATAATGGGAACAAACAGATTAAAACCAAAATATAAACATTAACTTTTTTATATTTCTCTACAATTTATTTACTTTAAATTTAATGTTATAAAAAAAAAAAAAAAAAAAAAAAAAAAAAACAACTAATTTCAATGCGACACATTTTTTGCATTGTGAAAATTAGAAAGATAAGACATGGGTGTCATTCTGGAATTAATAATAATCATAATAATTTAAAAAAGAAAAAATTTTAAAATATGTACACATTTTATTTTTGTATTCTTAAAAAGTCTTTTTACTTAAATTCTTTCATAGTTAAAAAATAAAAAAAAAGAATAAAAAATTTAACTTCTATTTGATTAAGTCATATTATTACGCTCGTGGTTTCATTGTAGGTGTAACATTTGTTGAATGGAAAAGGCGTCGCACAAAGAATACTTGAAGGCAACTTGTAGAGATTATTATAATGCACTGTAATATCGACCAGTATTGCACATATTTGTTGTTGCCCATAATTGTGTAGTAGTCTAACATTACATACATACGGCTTGAGGACTGGTGGATTACTGCATTTTTGATATTTTGCTGCAAATTTTCCAGAGACACCTGGAGGGAGAGAGAGAGAGAGAAAAAAGAAAAAAAAAGAAAAAAAGACAACTTTAAAGAAATATTATAACTTTTAAAATGGCTGAAGTTGTGGCAGCTTGGTAAAATCTTGTTAGGATAAAAAAAACAATGCTGGTTCAAATACTACAATGTCAAATGAAACATGTTGAACAAAGTGACATCAAAGTTGAGTATCCAAAAACAGGAAAGTCAAATGGTGGCTCAAATTCAGCCTCATCAAATGGAATTCAGGTAGAAAACCAACCACAGATATTCTTACTCACTCTTTCATAGACTTGCCAGGTCAGCTTGGACATAATGAATTCTGAAATTTTGAACAAAATACTCAGACCAAGTGAATTGCAAGTCACATCAAACAAAAATCAAGATAGAAATATTTTTTTCTGTCTAAGGTAAATTGAATTGTGAGTCAAGTCTCGTCAGACTAGTTCCATATATAATGAAAACCAAATATGCAAATATAGTCATTTTTATAAATATTAGAAAAACCAAATTAAACGAGCAAGGTGACCATACACTTGCTCCAAACCAAATTGAATGACAATGTCTCATATTTAGAATAATTCTTACAATGTTAATTTGTAAGAAACAAGAGTTGTCTTTCTCCTTGACTGATTTCCCTACAAAGGCTAGAGAGCCTAGCCTACTCTATTATTTTACTCATTACTGTAGTGACTCATGTCTCTTAAGGTAGGTACCTCCACGAAATCGCTAAAAAAAAGAGCATAGCTTGATGAAAAAGACGCCAACCTTGCCGAAAACAAAATTTTATTGTCTAAATGCTTATGTTATTATTTAGAGGAAAGACCAAAGTTTTTTTAATTATTTTTAAAAATTTTCCTTTTTAGAAAATTCTAAATTTTGATTAAAAAAACCTTGTTTCTATTTGTATCAGTGGAACTAGTAAATAACAGACAATTTTTAGCACGTTTTTTTGGTATGACACACATTAATTTGAAAAATCGTGCAAAAATAGAAATAATTATCGGATATTAATGAAACTTTCAGGAACTATTCACAGATGATCGAAATTATTATAAATATGTTTTTTTTTATGAAAGTCATGGTAGAAATATTTTAAAAAATATTTATTAACCCCCCCCTAACTAATTTTATGAAAACGCTAGAAATTGATCGCATCGGTTTTAGTGATTACAATAATTAAAAGCACAGGGCTTTGAGGAATGCAAATCATGTTTTTTTTGTTTTTAATTGGATACCCAATACCTGAAAATCAGCTCTGAATTGTAACATACAAAACTCAATAAAACAAAGATATTATTTAATTTCAAATGCTTTTATTTGCTTTTAGTTGTTTTTATGAATATGGACAATATTTTCTGAAAGCAAAAAATTTTTTCGATGAAAATGAATTTTTAATACAATTATTTGTTATTTCATTAATTATAATAGATTTTACATTTAAGTTGTTAAAATATTATAAAATTAGATAAAAGTCAAGACAGGCTTTCATAAGTGTCCTTATGAGATAGATCTTTTTTTAGCAGCGTTGTAAATTGTATCATTTTGACTAATCAGAAGAACCCCAGTAATTAAGAAATGTAATTTTGTGCTTATAATCGAGCTGTAATTATAAAATACGGAAGACCAACCAGAATATAATTAAGTTGGCGTTATTTGAGTTAAGCATTGTTCTCGCTGTTAAGGCCTTTACTTTTGCGAAACACATGTGGAGAAGTTAATTTGATTTTTCAATTTCAACTGAGAAGGTTACCTACAAGTATCAGTATCATCTTATGAAATTTATATGATCTTATTTTTATATTAATCTCAGTTCGACATTTTTCCATAAATGAAATATCAAAATTAATAATAAAATGAATGCAAATACAAATAACAGTAGAATGTAATAAATGTACATAAAATTATAGTATTTTATGTACAATTCTGATAAAATTTCATAAGAAAGGTACCTATAAATTAATTAGATACCTTTCTTAAGAAATATGAAATTTAATGTCACTCTTAACAGTTTTATTTTAATTTCTTTTACAATATATTTCCCATAAAAAAGCATCATAAACGTAAAGGTGAAAGCTAAGTACAAAAAAAAAAAAAAAAAAAAAAAAAAAAATTAGACCGCTGAAAGTTTTCGTTAAAAATAACAGGGTAAATAATTTGTTCACGTAAATGTAAATTATTTCACTTTTCTCCTTCCGTAGAACAAATTAGCCTCACGGAATCCGTCAATATGTCATTCATCATATGTCAAGTGACGCGAAAGTTTATGACCTGCTTTGTTTTATTTTCAAATTACATCTTTTTGGCACAAAAGCTAAGTTAAGTTTGGTTCAAAATATTTTAAATAAACATTATAATTTCTGATTTTCTTAAAATAAGTTTTGAAAAAATGATAATTGATATTTAAAAAATTTCAAAGTCAGATTTCCAGTTTTTTTTTTTAAAATGGAAAAAATGGTCAATTTTGCTGACTCAAAAAAAAACTAGATTTTTAACGAAAATTTCTGGACGTGCTAGGAACGATTAAAAATGGAAAAAAATACCCCAAAAAAATACTTTGACCTTTCCTCTTAATGAATAACAAACATTTAGACGATAAAATTTTGTTTTCGTCAAGTTTGGCGTCTTTTTCATCATGCTATGCTCTTTTTTTAGCGATCTCGTGGAGGTACCTATCTTAAGGGCATGAATGCAAAGTGAATATAACACCTTCAGCTGGACTGAATCTCTGCCTGTTGATTTCATCTTTCCCTCTGAAAATCAGGTTTTAAAAAGTGTACTTTTCTTATATCCCAGATAACATTAGGAATGATTCTTTGACTTCCCTAAATTGTTGACAGTGTATATAAAAGTTATGGGAATCAGTTCTGTTGTCAACTTGTGTAATTTTAATAAATGGTTCTCATGAACTGTTGTAAATGTCTGAAATCATATCAGTGTGTGTGTGTACTAGATTTGGTCAGTTTGGCAATTTATCTTTCGGTATCGGTTTCCGTTTTTTTGTCCTTGATACCGTGGTTTTTCGATTCATTTTTCAATTTAGTAATTAAGCAAAATTACTAAGGAAGCCATTCATTTTCTTGTGTAATGATAGCATTTCCAGTTGACATCTGATTTCGTTTGAGATTGATAAATTTGCAATTTAGACTGTTCAACTCGCAAATTTGAGTATTTATGGTTCAATCCTAAAAATGTTCATATGGCCGGAAAGAAAATAAAACAATCCTTCTAAATATGTAATTTGTATGTGCTTTTATTCATTGATTTTTTTTTTTTTTAACAGCGAGTTAAAAGGGTACTTTGCTTTGAACAACCAAAAATGTGAAACATGAATTTTTTTTTGAGACTAAATCTTACATGCTTTATTTTGCAAAATCAAAGAAGTGACCAATCTTTATCAATATTCTTGAAATTGTACACTCATTAGAAGACACCTTAAGCTACAACCAGGAAGAAAAAAAAGCAACAGATAATGTGTGGTAAAAGATCTTTCAATGAACTACTGTCTTGTCGCATAAAATTAATGCCTTTCAAGTGTTGTTTTTTGAGTGTTGTGTTTCAAGAAACTTTTTGGAAATGTCTGTCATTGTGGGAGTCTTTTAACAGGTGTGTAAGGGGTCAATATTTTTTTTTTTTAGCAAGGGTAATAAAAATGTATAGATATGTGTAAAGTAAGGACAACTGGAATTAAAAACCTGAAAACCAAAAATCGTGGTGGGTAAGTAGGGATTGTTCACCTAAAGTCAGTTTTTAGACCATAAGGTAATTTAGCTATAGAATTCATGACAAAGTTTATTAAACTTCTGAATAAATTGTCAACTATAAATAACCACCATATTTATTAACAAATTGGTAAAATACAGAAGAAATTGTATTGTCTTTGGACAACATATTTTTGAGAGAGAAAATGGTATATAGCTACAGTTTACGGTATGGCTTTTAAAACACCAAAAATGAAACCCTCATGTTTAAAATAATTAAAAATATGGCAATTCTTTTCTGGTATGCTAGTCAACTGTTATTGGAGTTTTGCAAATAAATTTCATCTAAAGAAGGAAAAAAAATCAATGACATTTTTTTTCCCCTAAATTTGTTTTTATCTAGCAAATACACCTAAAATTAAATATTATAAATAATTAAAAGCTTTTAATTTCATTTTTAGAATGTTTATATTTCCAAATCTGTGAGTATCATTTTTTTTTTTTTTTTTTTTTAGATACACATTTTAAAACTGAAATTTTAATCATTTTTATTCACTAAATAAATTTTAATCATTTTTTTGTATTCACTAAATAACCTATTTTAATCATTTTGTATTCACTAAATAACCTATTTTAATCATTTTGTATTCACTAAATAACCTATTTTAATCATTTTGTATTCACTAAATAACCTATTTTAATCATTTTGTATTCACTAAATAACCTATTTTAATCATTTTGTATTCACTAAATAACCTATTTTAATCATTTTGTATTCACTAAATAACCTATTTTAATCATTTTGTATTCACTAAATAACCTATTTTAATCATTTTGTATTCACTAAATAACCTATTTTAATCATTTTGTATTCACTAAATAACCTATTTTAATCATTTTGTATTCACTAAATAACCTATTTTAATCATTTTTGTATTCACTAAATAACCTATTTTAATCATTTTGTATTCTAAATAACCTATTTTAATCATTTTGTATTCACTAAATAACCTATTTTAATCATTTTGTATTCACTAAATAACCTATTTTAATCATTTTGTATTCACTAAATAACCTATTTTAATCATTTTGTATTCACTAAATAACCTATTTTAATCATTTTGTATTCACTAAATAACCTATTTTAATCATTTTGTATTCACTAAATAACCTATTTTAATCATTTTGTATTCACTAAATAACCTATTTTAATCATTTTGTATTCACTAAATAACCTATTTTAATCATTTTGTATTCACTAAATAACCTATTTTAATCATTTTGTATTCACTAAATAACCTATTTTAATCATTTTGTATTCACTAAATAACCTATTTTAATCATTTTTCACTATTCTATTTTAAATTTTGTATTCACTAAATAACCTATTTTAATCATTTTGTATTCACTAAATAACCTATTTTAATCATTTTGTATTCACTAAATAACCTATTTTAATCATTTTGTATTCACTAAATAACCTATTTTAATCATTTTGTATTCACTAAATAACCTATTTTAATCATTTTGTATTCACTAAATAACCTATTTTAATCATTTTGTATTCACTAAATAACCTATTTTAATCATTTTGTATTCACTAAATAACCTATTTTAATCATTTTGTATTCACTAAATAACCTATTTTAATCATTTTGTATTCACTAAATAACCTATTTTAATCATTTTGTATTCACTAAATAACCTATTTTAATCATTTTGTATTCACTAAATAAAACCATAAAGATATTTGTAAAAATAAAATGAATTAATTTTGCTTGTTTCGAAGAAATTTATAGGTAGAACAGTAACAAATACCCACTGAAAACTAGTGGCTAAAAAAAGTATTTTTTTTTTTTTACACTTTGGGTAAAATAAAAAAAAAATTGTAGTTTCGAAAATAGACATCTTAAAACCGAGATTAAATCTTACTTTATTTTTTCTAATATCTAATTTTAGGTGTATTATTCGCTAGATAGAAACAATTTTATTTGTAGAAAACAAACAATTTTATACTAGAGACTTGCATATCTGAAAATGCATACATTAAAAGTAAAACTATTTTAATTATTAATATCTAATTGAGGTGCATTCCCTACATAAAAATGATGTTGCTACATGCCTTACTTCTTGCCTATCTCACACTGCGAATTTTTTCTAAGCTCTAAACATTAAATCTGTTACGAAAAAAGAAATAATAAAATGAACACACAACAATCAGCTTTAAAAAAGGACTCTTAACTGGAAAAACCAAATGATAAAAGAATGTTAAATACTTTTTCACAGCCAACCCAGTTCTGCGGAATCAGAATCAACGTTGAGTTTAAGCAAGCGAATGAGCCAATTGGAGTAAAGTGACATGCAGATGTAAATTTTTCCCACTTGTGACAAATGCAGCTATTGATATTTTGCATGCGAGTATGCTAGTTAACATTCGTGTCAGTCAGCTGTTGGCTCTCACGCTGGCCAATAGAATCTTCCTGCCTATTCGTGGCAGCCAGTTATAGGCCCTCACTCTGGCCAGTATAAAATGGTCGCAAACTAAATGAAAACTGCTGTAGAAGAATGAAAAAATTGATTATTTCCATTATTGATGGGAGTTGGGAAATGCAAAGTCGATCTTGGCTTTCCCGCTAACTTGGAGCATGTGCATGTAAATTTTGGTGCAAATCCGTCGAAAATTGCAGCTGTGCATTTGTCACACACACACACACACACACATCCTGCCTTTTATAGATAAAGATTGGTATTGTATAGCATCAAATATGGTTCTCAATTTCATAGGGTTGGTTTGTACAGTTTCATTTTGTTATCTGGGTTTAAATAAATACATGTTTGCATACAGAATGCAATGGGCAAATTATCGTCTTTTATATTTTTAATTTCACACATGCATGTTTGTTTTTGTCAACTGCACCGTATAGAAGGGTCAGTTGGGCATGGTCTGTGAGAAAAAGAAGCACCAGGACACAATTCACTTCTAAAAATGACACTGAAGAAAAATTAACATTGAGAAAATTTTGGAAAGGTTTAGTATTGGACAATATTCAAACCAAGTACTATGAAGAGTCTGATCTATTAGCAGGAAAAATTTAATAGAAAATTAGTGAGCATCTTAAGAATGGCAAAACAATGTCTTCAAATAAATTCACTATGAATTGTATAGACTTACATCAAAATATATCAAATAAATTCAAAAGTCAGACACTGAACAGAAAATAACTAGATGAGGGCAGAAAATTTTACAGTGAAAATGGTTATAATTATGTTGTAATTCCAATTACATGTAAAGAAATTTTCTTACCGAGAAGTTTGCCACAGTTCGGTAAACATCCTCAATTTCCTTAACATAACCATCCCAGTGTTCAGGAACAAATGCTGACATGTAGAAATAGACTAATTTTGCTGCAAACCGACTGTAGGAATTATCAAAGCACACCTCATAGATACCTTCAGAAAGAGAGAGAGAAAAAATAGTAAAATTTAAGTGATTCAAATTAACTTCAGCAATAAATGATGAACAGGAATTCTATAGCATCTTGACTATTTACAAATAGTCAAGGCACTAAAAAAAACTTTAAGATCATGTGTTTTAATGGCTTATTCATCCAAAACAGATATTCTTAAATGTAGAAAATTTTAATAAGTGTAACAGACATTCCAACTTAAAAAAATTTACTCATCCATCTTGCCATTCTTCTATGTTATATTCTAACATTCTATCCCAATTTTGTGTTGTCTCAAAAAAAAAAAAAAAAAAAAAAAAAAAGACTAATAAGTCTGAGTGGTTTATCATCAATCCTATAACTGGGTATAGTTTTAGGGTTGCTGCAAAACTGAGAATCTGACCATCTGGGTTGAAAGTCAGAGAGATTCATTCAGACAGTGCATCTTGAGAAAGTAAAAAACAGAATCCCTTCCCCTCACAGCTGATGCCCAACTTCAATGTTAGTCTTTGTCACAAACACGTAGTCTTCAATTCCATTGGAGGAACCCATTTCCCTGTACTTTGACTTCAGTTTAGGAAGCCCTCCATAATGCAATATCATCACCAAATTGGCTGCATCTATAGCTATAGAATCAATCTCCTCTGTTGTATTAGGTGACCGTTGTACCTACAAGAAGTTTCCTCCACCCTTTGACAGGTCTTGTTTTTAGTCCTTTTTTTGGGTCCAGCCAACCCTCTCATCAAGAAAGCCTGGTGGGGAAACCAGTTTAGTAGCCAATGAGCCAACCATACAGCAAGAAATATTGGGTTACATGTAGAGTGATTTTGCATAAAGTTAGTGGCTGAACATTATATTTATTTTAATCATTTCACCCTAAGCAAGATGGGAATGCCAATAGTACATTGGGGGGAACAGAGAATGAAGCTGAAAAAAAAGACTGGGTATAGGAGGGGGACCCAGGGAAAAATAAAGCAACATGGGAGTTCAAGAAAAATCCGATTGCTACTGGTGTTAGGAATTTCGAGAACAGCAAAATACAATATGCACAACAAAAAAGTGCAGGCAGATATATATGAGGCATCAACTGTCTCCCACCGAGTTATCATGATGTCAACAACCAATATGGCATCCTTGATGATCATACATGTACAATCTACCATAAAGTGCATCGATCAGTCTAAATGTATAATCTATCAAAGTGCATCGATCAGTAAGTGGACTCACACGACATTTCCACAGCCATCATCTAGAAAGGCAAGCTGCAGCAGGAAGACTGACATGTCATTAATATGGGAAGAGCTACAAGCCTCTTGCAGTTCTTAATAGCCATTTGAGATATCAGCAGCAACAAAGTGATGATATTTAGAATGAAAAATTAAGAAAGTTTGAGTGAAAAAGATGGTCTTACTTGGTAATGAGTTGACTTCCACCATATAACTCCTAAAAAAAAATTGTGACTTTAAGCCTTAGTTATTTAAAATGAAGATTTTACATTAAAACTCTTCATGCATGCATTCTTCATAAAGCAACTAATGACAGTAAATTCACTGTATTTGAAACACTACTGTGGCATAATAGATATTGTCATGAAAATTGGAATCGGTAATTTCTGGGCTAGTCGGTTACATTTACATTCATAAAAATGCCATGGAGAACTCTTTTTCCTCCTAACTATAAACAGCAAGATAGACTAGGTCCTGTAGTCTTGGGTGGCAACCAGTCTAAGAGAAGGAAAACTGATTACAAAATTGGCAACAGGAAATAACCCTGCTATCTTTTCCAAGAATTCATGGCAACTCACAATTAATAAAGGAAAAAGAAATCTGAAGAGCCATGAATCATTTACATCTTGAAATGATATGGGATTTTAAAAAAAATTCCAAATAAACTTAATCATACATATTGCCATATTCACAACATTTCGGCCATTATACATTCCAGTCTTCTTCAGATGATTGGAATTTCAAACTGAACCCTTTATTTATCCACTGGGCTATGGATAAAAGCGTTGGTAGGATTCAGTGATTTGACCCAAAGAGTTGTGAGTTCAATATCTGGTTACTGCAGTGGTGAACAAGAACTTGGAAAGTTGAAAGGAGATAACTGAGACATCCAGAAGAGGCATAGCATGTGGAACTAGAACAATTTACCCCAGTGGATGAAATAAAGAGTTCAGTTCCAAATTCCAATTGCTTGAAGGCCAGAATGTACAACAACCAAAATGTCATGAATATGGCAATAAAGAGGACAACACTGCAAATAATTACAATACCCCATTTCAGAAATATAGACAGATGTAAGAATTAGTATATTATTATGCAGTGTGGCTACCCTAATGTTATTTAGAAATATAAACTTTCATATTTGTTATTTATAGTATGATAAATAATTTAAGAAAAATTCACATGCTAGAAAATTTTTATTTAAGAAAAAAAAAAAAAAAAAAAAAAAAAAAGGGAAAATTTATCTCTTTAGGTAACACCTGTTGAATCAGACACACACACACAAAATCGCCCTGGATATGATGATAAACCACATGCGGCAGTAAGGCCTCTGATCAGATTTTGAGGAGCCTGGAACCACCTCTTAAGTGCTGTTGTTCACAAGTTCCACTGAGTGGAGTGCTAGCACCTGAGCAAATAGTTAACACTCCCCACCCCAAACTGGGGTCAAAATATTATGAAGTATAAAATCTTATAGTAAAACTACCAGCAATACATATTTTATAGTAATAAAAATTACCAGCAGTACATTTCTGTAAAAAAAAAAAAAAAAAATCAATATATTTTTTTCTAAAAGAAATTAGTAATGCTCCCAAGAAAATTAAATTTTGACATTAAATGTACCAATGGATTGATATACTGTCAAACAAAAAACAAAAATTAAAGAAAAACAGACAAGAATCAGAGAGGGATAAAAAAAAAAAAAAAAAAAAAAAAAAAGCTAGCAACAAAAGAATATTGACAAAGCATTTGCAACAATAAAGAGGAGTTTGAGAAGCAAAAAAAGAAAAAAAAAAAAAAAAAAAAAAAAAAAAAAAAAAAAAAAAAAAAAAAAAAAAAAAAAAAAAAAAAAAAAAAAAAAAAAAAAAAAAAAAAAAAAAAGAGAAAAGTTTTTGTTGAATTCAAAATAATAAAATACCACGAGTGTGAATATTTTCTTCAACTGTCCCTTCTGTTTTCCAGGGTTTGTGAACAAGAATGTCAAGACGTTCATCACGCAAAAAGAAGTCAATATTTCTGTCACCACCTGTCAAAATCTGAAAAAAGCAAAAGTGTAAAGTAGTCAGACAGGAATTTCCTCAGGTTGTTAATTTTTTTTTTTTAGTCCATAGCTATATAACATAGAATACAAAGGAAAAAGAAAAATCCTAAAAAGTATAAAGAAATTTAGCACTACTGTCAAGTACCCATGTAGGACTTTCCACATTACTATAACAAACTGACAATCACAAATGCACATTAATAATTCACATCAGATTGGGCATCATATTTTCCATGAAAACTCAATGCTGAAATGTACTTATAAATAAGAGTTAGATAATTGTAGAAAGAAGATAATAATGTCTATCTGCAAAAATGTCAGAATAAAAAATTTTTTTTTTTAATAATTTCATCCCAAGCAAATCAATAAAGCCACTAAGATACAGGGATGGTGTCAAGTATGAAAGAATGAGAAAATGAAAAAGCATTAAGAAGAGAGAACCATAAAAGAACAAGAATTAAGAGAACAGAAAATAGCCATTGACATTGCATTTGAATATCAAACTTAACTGAAATGTTACAGAAGAAACTGTTAATATAGAACAGTTACATCTAGCAACTTCAACTGTAAAATGATGAGACCTAGCTGCCAAACTAGTACTGCTCTTAAATTCATAAAAAGTCTAGGTACCAAAGAGGAAAGCTCATCAGAACAATTACCATGAAAATATTTATAGAAGAGACACTGGAAAGTTATATTGCAGTGTTGGAAATGTGACTCAAGCTGAGATGCCAGGTCAGGACTGATAAAATTACAGATTTATACATGAATATCATTAAATACACACATATATATATATATATATATATATATATATATAAGGAGCACCAGACCAGATGTGGCAGTAATATTCAATGCACAGATGAATGGTAGATTTATTAATATGCAAGATGGATTTTGGCAAGAAAAAAATTATCTGGTACAACACAGTGAACCAACTTTCCTAGCAGCAAACCTAGTAATCGATTCAATATAATCTTTCTATTTCATGTCAGTGGAAAACAGGAGATCAAGGTGGCACTATTCTGGAGGTAAATACCAAGCATGCTGATGGAAAACAAAAAAATGATTCTCTAAGATGACTAAAGAGAACAGTTTCATTTTGGAGGCATTAAAATTAACCAGCCATTTCTTTTCCCAATTAACAGATTGTAGGTAATTTGTGAGATCAGTTGCCAATTTGACCTTATTGAGCAGATCAGACGTAAAGGCAGGTGTAAGTAGTGATACGTTGAGAACTGATGATATCGGGAAGGTCATTAATGAAAATTAGGAACAACATAAATCCAAGGATAGATCCCTGGTAGACATCCACATTAGAAGATTTTACAATTTGATAAAGGCTGAATTGGATAATAAATTAATCTCAAAATACCATTATTTTCAACTTGTAAAGACCAGCATGCCAAACCCTGTCAAACATCTTTGTGATGTCCAAAGCAACAGACAGAGATTCACCATTCTTATCTAAAGCTTGATAGACTTTTCCAGCAATAACTGAACACATCAGCTGTTGACCTAGAGAAGTAAATGACATATTGCTTGTCTGGAAGAAGAAGCTGTGAGGTGGGATGCTTAACCAATCTAGAATCAATTGGAGCCTCTAGTAAACAGAAGAAAAATACCAAATAGTCATTTTGATTTAAATATAATTTGTTAAAATTTACTACATTCATGATTGCCATTTAAAATTTTAGTTGATGTGATTCTTTTACTGATTTATTAAAATAAATGCTTTTGTATTCTGCTGCAAAATAAGAGGATTTTGCATGTAAATTACAAAAATCTTGTTTGAATAAAATATTTAAAAGCATATATTATGGGATTAACCCAGTACCTTATCTGCTGGGGAACTTCTAAGTGCCAATGCATAAAGCAATATAATATTAAAGGGCCTTAAACCCTCTCATTTTGCTCTTCAAGTACAGGATTCTGTAAGACAAGATGTCTCTTTTCCCTTTCTGGGGACTTCCAATGAACCATGTGTTGCATAAAACCTAATACTATCATTACACTGCATCCTGTTCAGGGGTGGGTAGACTCATCTGAAAATAATATCTCCACTATAAGCTATCACATGAATATATCTCTATCCAACACCAAAAATAACTCTTCAACAAATGAGTCAATGCTGCTGTAAACTGATCTCCTATAAACTGGTAACCTAATGCCATAACTTATTTTTTTTTGTTAGTGTGTCCCCATCTTAGAGCTGACATCCCTTTTATTTTAAACAATTGAAAATTTACTTTGTTTACAACATTGATGTTATATATATATATATATATATATACATACATACATACACACAAAGAAAGAGTGCAATGACTCATGTAGTTTTTATTTCCTTTAACTTAACTGAATGGAATTGAATAGGTTACAAAAGAAAGACTAAAATCATAAAATTTGTAACTTACAGGGCTAAGAATTTTGGTAGCATTTTTGAAAGTCTTGAAAAATCTAGGACAATCTCTTAAAAGCAAATATGAGAATATAGCCAGATGTTTTCATGAAGCTGAAAAACTTTATAAGGACATACAGTATAACCCGGATATAATAGATTTGTCAGGACTGGAGAAGAAGTCTCTTATATCCGGGTTTCTCTTATATCCGGGTTTCTCTTATATCCGGGTTTCTCTTATATCCGGGTTTCTCTTATATCCGGGTTTGGTCTATTTTATATACATTAACACAGGCTCTAATTTGGGACCAGAGAAAATCTCTTATATCCGGGTTACACTGTACAAACAAAATGTTAAAAAGGTAGCTCAGAAACCTATGAAAAATAGAAGGCTGGCAGAAAGAGTATATAAGACATTTATTTTGACTAGAAGTTTCTACTTCCGACAGATTGGTAAACTTTTATTACTTCACTTATGCCAAGAAATTGTCCCTGTAAGAGGAATATCGTTTTATTACAACCATCACAAAAATGGGTTAATATTTTTACCTTAATTTTGATGGTATAAATAAAAATTCTAGACAAAAAACATTTAGGTGAACAGAAGAAATAAATCTTGATTTTCACTATTTTTCAACTTTTGCACAGCATTCCCTTTCTGAAGCATACCTATACAATTTTACATATAAATTATTCATGTAATCAATAGAAGATTGCACATATGTTACCTGATTTTATTAACAGTTTAAGGTTTCTTTCTCTCGACAATAAAAATAAAATAAAAAAAATAATCAACCAAACCATTACTTGTTAATGTCACTTGATCACCCACAATTTCAACATTATCATTTATATTAATTTTTAAAATTAAAATAGGACTCAAAATATTATGGACTGCTCAACAAATATTGGAATTACTGACTATAAACAAGATTAAATTGATCTACAATGACAATGTGAACTTCTCAATGTATTTTTCCCATCTTTGTGTTTTAATAAGAGTGAAAAAGGTCACATACCATAGAGGACAACTAGCTAATGGTTACATTTTAAATCAGTGAAATGCTTTTTATATTTGATTAGTGCAATAATATTAATCCAACTTATCTGTATAGATTGGTATACTGCAAGAAAATTCAAATTATAATATAAGAGATAGGGGTTTTCAGCATAACTGGTAACACCAAAATTCTTGTGTTTGTTCAGATTTTGAAAATTGGGTAAGCTGAATACTTTTTAGCATCTCCACATTTTATATGTCTTCATACATAAGATAGATGAAACTTTGAAGACAAAGACTCAACTGAGAGAAGCGTATGGTTGCAAGAAGGAAATACGACAACAGCAGAAATAGATTTACATGATTTATTTCAATAGGAACGTGTGGGTTTGGGACAGTTACCTTGTGGTATAGTTCATAAGTCAGCTCCCGGTCTGGGTTGATCTCTCATAGTAGTTCACACTGGTTGGCGTGGCACTCCTCCTGCTGACTGACCGTGACAGGCCTCTTCCTTGGCCTCCTGTTGACTGCTCGCACTTCCCTATGTGATCCCTTTTATGGTGCTTTTTTATAGCTTAACAGGCTCAAAAAAACGATGCGAACATAATTAGGAGGGAAGCATTTTTATTGGTCGAAAAATAGAAACTTTAAAATATTTTATTTTTTCGACCGGAACTCGTGTGTCGGGCTTATGCGTAGACGACGATAATGGTCATTTTGGGACGGGGCCTTGTTCCGTTCACATCCGGATCTCGCTCTTAAGTATGTTAGTTTATTTGCCTGCAAATCAGCTGAGATAGGTCTTATTTTATTTTATAAAATGGCCGGTGAAGTAAAACCTTGTCGCCTACTTGTATTGGGTCCTTGGATGTGAGGCGATTTAAGTTGGTCTCAAGTTTATGGTCAGCTTCATCGCTGGTCAGGGTGACGTGGTAGTGAATCTGCTTTAGCAGGGCATTAATTTGCATTCCATATGCTCCAGGATCATCACTTGCGATTTCTTTTCTGTGTAGTGTAGGTAGGCCAATGTTGGAGTGACGGCCAGTAATGGCATAGTGCGGGGAGACACCGGTGGCGCTGTTGGTCATGGCATTCATGGATAAAACGACAGATTCTAGAACGTCTGTCCATTCACTGTTCCTGTCTTTGCATAACAAAAAGTGCGTTCTTCATCGTGCGATGTTGTCTCTCGATATTTCCTGAGCTTTGCGGGTGCCAAGGACAGTGAAGTTCTTGCATGATTGACATCTGGTTACAGAATTGTCAATAGACTTCTCCAGTGAAGTGTGTGCCTCGATCAGAGGATACTATGCATGGAATCTCTGTGTCGAAGGAAGAACTGGTACAATCTGCGGGTGGCATCGATAGCATGGTCTCTCGTACATGGTATGGCTGTAAAGTGTCGGCTGAAGCTATCCAAAATGGTTAGGATGTAGCATTTTCCCTTCGAGTTGGGCATTGTGACAGTCTATAAAGACGAAATCAAATGGTCTCTTTCCTCGTTTGCAGTGGCCAATGGGCCAGTGGGTATGTCTACTGTAGTTGCCTTTGCACACGTGTCGCAAGAATCGACATAGGCCTTGATGTCGTGGTT